CATCTCTCAACCGTTGCTAGCGCCGTTTCTGAGTACGGATAAGACCTATTGCGGCAAGAGGAACAGCTGGGAATTTTTATGCTGGTTATGGTGCCAGTGATTGTCACTAACCACCTTGGTTTTACCATTCTGGGATTGCACTCTGGAAGAGGTGTTCAAGGTTTAGAAAATCGATCCCGTATTGATGTTCCTGCAGAATTAGATGACTTCTTTGATACGGGTAGAGCTTCTCATGCAATCAAGGGTACATGCTAGTTTCCTGAAGGTACCGTAGGCACTTGCCCATACACAGGAGCACCTAGACCAGATGACTGGAATCCTGATGGAAAGACTGACTGCGTTTGCGGAACTAGTGACGGTACATGATGATGAGGATGGAACGTCATTTGTTGAAGATGATTCTGCAAGATCTCGCCTGATGCTAGTTTATGAACCCATGTCTGCGGATGACCATCTACCATGATCGTAACTTCTTGCCGTGGTATCAGTTGATGGTAGTTCCTCCCAAATCGTTACTCCAATTCCGTCAACTGGTGCTTGAATCCACCGAGAACTGCATCACATTGCAAACAACTTGTAGTATTACACGCCACATTCATGTGATTCTTCAAAACCCACATTGATCATATGAATTGGGTGCTCTATGGGGAATGGATTAATATTCATCTCAATTGAATCATCGACTTTGATTTTTTCTTCATCAATCATCTTCTGCAAGTAATTGCGGAAAACCACACAATCATTTGTACTATGTGTCCATGATATATAATACTTGCAATATGTTTCCCCAGCCATTTCAGATGGTTTCGGCGGTCGATAACCTTTCCTATATCGTACATGGCCTGTCATCATCATGTCATCAAAAATTGCCTCTTGTTGGGTAATGTCAAAAGAGTAAACTTTTGCAGCTGTGGCCGTGTCGGAAGTTTTGGCCGTTCCAGAGGGAGACACTCCTTGAGAATACGCCTGTGACACAACTGGCCTGCGTAGTGCTTCACACGTGTACTCTTTTAAATTGATAATCTCTGCAGCATTAATGCTATCCCAAGGCTGATCTTCATCGTCGGAGGAACTCCAAGCAACATTATTAACTTCTGCAACAGGTTTTTTGTTAAACCATGACTTTGGTTTTATTGGTTTCGATTCTCTCTTAGCTCGGATGACCTTTTCCGTGTTATGAACAACTTCCATAAGCTGTGTCAAAGATCAGATTGGATGGGATGTTACCGCCAGCTTTAATTTGAAATCTTGGATGCCTGATATTGCCATCTTAACTATGGTAGATTCCTCATATTTGCCAGAAGTAGCTCCCGGTATTTTTGCATGCATTTGTCGGAACCTAGCGAGGTATGCTTCAGCTGTTTTGCCAGGTTTCTGTTGGACTTGTGACAAATCAACTATCGATAACCTTGGCGTGGTACGGTAGAAGTTATGAATAAATACTCACTTTTGAGTGTTCCAATCAGCAATGGATCCTGGTTCAATTGTACGATACCAATCTAATACTATTTTGGCCAATGAATAAGGAAATAACCGCAGGTTCAAGAAAGGATTATGTCTAGCTTCACCACATTCCAATTCAAAGCGGCCAATGTGATCTTCAGGCCGTTGATCATCTTCTGAAGTAAACTTCTTGAGATCCGGCATCTTGTAATTCCTTGGCAGAGGTTCAAACTCAACATACTCATGATAAGGCTTTCTCATCACTTCTGGCACTTCTATGCCCAGTTCCTTACGTACCATATCTTCCACCATAGTTTTGAAACCAGCCTCTGTAGTAAACACATGCGCAGTTTCCTCTTCTTGAGCAAATCCATCATGTCGGAACTCTCTTTCAGGCTCTTGATAAAGTTTTGCTTCTGGTTGATTTTCTCTTTGAGGATTTCTACCGTCTCTTCTCCGAGTGATGTTCCTTGCTCTAGTCCGATTCTATGCCTGGTTTGCTTTGTACTCAATCCACTGTTGCTCTTCTAACAATTCTTCGACTGTAGGAATATGTCTTAGCAAGATTCGTGGTACAGTTTCCTGTTGTCCGCCTTCTCTGGGATTACAAGTCCTACTCCTTGCCGTGGAGTCCTTTGCGGAGTCGGTATATGGTTGGTGAGGTTTCCTTGCTAATTACCATATACTACAAACCTTTGATCATTGTTTGGGAGAGGGTTAGTTGTTGGCGGAGTGTTGGATACCACTGGAACTAGTCGAGCAATCATTGGAGTTGGTATGAATTGGGTCTGTGCGCTTTCAATATTCTGGGCCTGACCATTCTGTCCACCTAAAGGATTTGGCAAAAGTACTGGCCTTGGTGGTGATATAATTCCTCTTGGAGGAGTAAAACTACCTGTCGACGGATAGGAGTTTTTGGTAGCCATCTCATAGCTTGAACAACTGGTGTAGGCCCATAACTCGATGTTGGTCCATGGTAATTTCCATAATAAGGTAATGGACGGCCATCGAAGGTGAAATTTCTGAATGGCGAAATAAAAGCTGGTTGACTTGGCTCAGCTCGGTAAAACCAACTAGGGTTTGGTATTGGTGTTATCTCTGGAATGACTCCTACTTGGCTTACTCCACTAGTTGACAACCCTTGCATCGGCATTGACGAGTAAGTGAACAGTGGGTTATCATGGTTAAGTGTTGTAGACGGATTCAACAACGGTCTTTTCAATGAAGCATCGGGGGTTATCAGTGGAGTTTCAGGTGCTGCCCCTCCATTAGGATTAACCTTTTGGAGAGATTGCTCCAACACAGTAATACGGGCCAACATGCTTGTGATAGTATTATTTTGTTGGCCTATTATGATTTGCTCAAGACTTTGGGGTGTGTTATATGCCGACTCTTTAGTACATCCCCATTGATCTAACCCTAGCTGAGCATGTTCCATGTTCCAAGGTTTGTTTCGAACCTTGACTATGATGAAATTGCGGATGATACGAGTTCTTCAACTCATACTCCAAGTTCTGATTTACTGGAAGAATCGGTGCTCCTGATGATGCTATCGGAAGAGTTGATGAAACTCCTGTTTCCCCGGTTGATTTTGCTGCATCAGTTGTTGATGTACCGGAGGAAGTAACTCCTATGAGAACAGACGTTGTAGCTGTTGTTATTGACATGGCTTTAAACCTAGTCGAGACACACAAATCAGTCCCACTGGCCGTGCCAATTATGTTTGTACAAAAATAATCAGTAGAAACTGACGCACTCTTGCAAAAAAATCTCAGACGAAAGTCTGTAATTCGTGAGATGTAATATTCGGCTAGGCATAAAGAAGAAAGGGAATAAAACTTGTAATAACTTGAATAAAAACTGAATTACTTATAAATTGATGAAATAAATGAATTACAATGAGTAAATCGAATAAAAAGACTTGTGAAAAATGATTAAAAAGAATAATAGGGTGCGAAAAAGAAAGAAGAGAGCTTTACAGCTTGTGTTCTGTTTGTGTTGATGATGAGTTGTTTTTTGTGTCGCTCTATATCTCTCTCTTTATATAGGGTTCGGTAACTGCCTATGTCGGTGCAATTTCTGATTTCTAATTGAATTTGGTGTTGCCGATTTTGAATTACAATTATATTTTATTTCTGATTCCACGTTTCTTTGCCACAATTGTAATTCGTCTTCAACTTGGATTTGGTCTCCTCCGCATCGGGTTGGGCTTTCGACGCGTCTTCTTCTCCTATTTGAAAATGGATTCCCTTTCCTTGCATCGAATGTGGTCTTCGTGGGGTATTGGGCCGATTCACCACTATTGTTGGGCCGACACGATTTTAACTAAAATCGGTGGTAACAATAGTCAACATTGAGTTTCAAAATTTATAATTTACATTGAGTTTTGAGATTTATAAACCGTATTGTTGGGGTAGAAGAAGTTTTTTTAGTGACACATTTTCTCAATTCAACGACGTTGAAAATTAAAACAAGGAATATGTTAAAACGTTGAGGCTAAATTGAGCTAGTTCTCTGAACTATTGAATTCTTCGAAACTAGGAACTAAAAGAATATAAGCGTGGGGTTCTAAAAGAATAAGAAAGGTAATGTAGTTGTATATCCAAGAAAATTGAAGAAAGGTTGTTACATTTAGAGGGAATTGTTAAAATGGTCACTAAATTACAATAAAATTCTATTTTGATCACTGAAAAAATTACATTTTGAAACAAGTCATCACTCTAAAGAATAATAATAAAAAAAGTCATTAGGTTAAAATGTTCTCTTAGAACTCGAAATCTCCGTTAAAGTCAAAGGTATTTACTATCATAAATTGAATACTCTATCCGATTCTTATTACAAGACATTTTGATTTGTCCTAAATTTCATTTTGTATATTTTTCTAATTAAATATAAAACTTTAAAAATATATTTTCATATTTATTGTGTTCTCCTAATTATTATAATTTTTTAAGGTTTTATTTAAATTAGAATGACATACTAAATGAAACTTGGGATAAATCAAAATGTCATATAATAGGTTCGAAGGGAGTATATTAGTGTACATCATCTTCCTCACTAAGTCATGGAAAAAATTGGTGATCCTACCTAAAAGATTTTCGGTTATCGTCAATGCTACCTTAAAATTTTTTACGATGTCAATTTTGTCCAGATCGTACGAATTTTTCTCCGATTTGTCTGATTGATACAATTTTCGTCCAACTAAATAGATTTATGTTAGTTTTTTTTAATAAAAAAGAAATTTAATTATAAAAATCCCTAATAGTTTCAAAAGATTATAAAACAAGCGAAAATATGTAAAACCAAAAAAAAGGTCCCTTTTATTTTTATTTATTTTTTTCTATTTCATTGTAGTTCTCTTTATTACTTTTCAGAATCATAACGATATACTATATGATCTTTAATAATAATTTTGGTTATTTACAAACTCTATCCTACAAATTAATCTTTTCATATCTGAAACTGATGGTTATATTTATATAAACATATTAATATTTTTAATAACATAGTTTAGTGCGTAGTAAAAAACCTTTTTCTTAATTCTTTTTTTTTTCTTTCTAGAGATTAAAAATACTTAAATAAAGGTAACATCCACATAAGAATAAAATATTTATTTTAGATCACAAAATACTTTATTAATATATTTTTATTTGGAAGTGACCTGTTTTGGATTTTATTTTTTTAAGTGACCAAAGCGGGACTTTACCATAATATAGTGATCATTTTGGCAGTTCACTCTTATATTATATACATTATGGCTTTGAAGAAGATACAAGAGGCGCTGCTGACAAAGAAGTGATAGAACAAGAATCTTTGCCACCACCAGCTTGACTACGTTGTGGTAGGGTGCATCTCCTGGCATTTTTGTAGCTACTAGTAACTTCTCTCTGTGTATGCTTGCTTATCCTATGTAGTATTGCCTATTTATACAACTAATTACCCGATTGTGGGCTATAATTCAGCAGATAAGCATTCTTGACTTGATGATGCACCCAAATCATTCGACAGCTTTTCGCATAACTGCAAAATGAGCACAAACCAGACGTCAGGATATGTATCCTACAAAGAGTGTAAGTCCAGGTTTTATACTACACTCCCGCATAAGAATTGTTCAAATTCGAAGTGCTACGGAGAGTTGTGGAGAACAGATTTTCAAGGAAGAGAGGGATAAAAAAGCTTGCTGCTTTTGCTTTGATAGATTTACCTGTCTATACATTGCTGGATCTCCACATGATTTCCGTAACTCAACACCATGCAAGGATGGGCTTATCTCGAAAACCTGTGACAATTTGAAGGTTCGGTTATGTGTATGATGAAGATTACAGATGACATCAACTGCTGCCTAAAAATTTACTTACTTCTGCTGCCAGTGAGAGACTACCGATGCTTTTCAGACCGTTGTCCCCTTGCATCACTTTAAGCTGAACAAGCCAACAACATAACTCGTTAGTAATCAGATCGTATTGCTGATTGTTTTGCTCATCTAATCTCCATCAAAAGTTCTACACATTTGGAATCTGAGTAACTAACCTTTCCGTTCTTTTTTTGCACTTGAAAACCCAACTTAATAACTATGTCTTCAATCCTGTCAAGCAATTCTTTGGAAGAGTAAGTAGAAGCAAACCTTATTTTCCTCTCAGATACATCCTGAAATAGGCAGCAGGTACATTCAGTTAATATGTCATCTCAACCCTCTTTGTTAGGCATAACAATTTCCAGAGATGCTTCATTTAGAAACAATTGGTTTGAGCAGATCAGTTACAAGAATACCTCTGTCTCGAAGAAGCCAGAAAGATCTAGACAGGAAGACATTCCAATCAGCTCAAAGGCATTTATCATGTAATCATGTGGTTCTGCAGGATCTCTTTCTGCTTCTGAAAGCTGCATTTCCCAAATAATGCATGGGAACCGATCAGTTTTATAGTTGCTTATCATTAAGTGAAGAAACTGCAAGAAATTAGGAAATAAAAATTAAGGGTTCTACTTACAGCTTCACGAACTGATAACACCGCATCATCTAAGTAAATGTTTCCTATATCATTGTCATTGTCATCGTCATCGTCATCATCAGGAAGGGCAGGAGAGTAGTCTTGCTTGAACCAATCATCCACTTTGATATCCGCCATTTTCACGCGAGTGCGTGGATTGGGATCAAGTATTCTCCTAATCAAGTTTGAAGCTCCAGGGGACAGCCATTTGGGTATTTGAGCATCACCCTTGAAAATCTAAATTTTGAGGTTGATATATATTGTTAGTCTCAGAGAGACTGATCAATCCAAGTCGATAAAAATAAACAATTCTCATGAGATTTGAAACTCATAATTCATTCAGATATAGGATCGAGCAGACTAATCTACCTTCTGATATAATACTGCAAGATTTCTGTCGTCAAAGGGCAGATATCCTGTGAGGATTACATACAAGATGACACCACAAGACCAGATGTCTGATGTGGCACCATCGTAACCTCTGTTGGATAAAATTTCAGGTGCCACGTAGTTGGGACTTCCACATGTTGTATGCAATAATCCATCACCCTGAACCATAAATTAAAAATCTGGAAATAAGCAATACTAAATAGTTACCATTTAATGCAAAAGATGCAATAGATGTCCTTAATCTGTGGTACAATGACAAATGGTAGGATGATCAATCTTAAATACCCTAAGATGTTGAGGCAAAGCGCTGAGACCAAAATCCGTTATCTTGACATTTCCTCTGGCATCAACGAGCACGTTCTCAAGCTGCATATGATATCAGTGAAGATGTTCAGTATCAAGCATAGCTGGTATGAAATCTCATGTAAACTTGTCAGGCACGTGCACGAGTTATGTTTTCGAGTGATAAAGAAACATAACGTAACACAAAAAGATGGCAACATATGAGAGTGATGTACCTTGAGATCTCTGTGGAAAACGCCTTTGTTGTGGCAGTAACTGACACCATCTATCAACTGTTGGAAGATCCTCCTGCCTTGAGCTTCAGAGAGTTTTCCCTTGGATGCCTATTTGGTTATCCAGAAAGTTTACTAAATTCAATTAAACCTCACAATGGCAGGAGAGAAATCTAAGTTGAGCGGAGCAGGTAAAACTTACTATTCTTTCGAACAATTCACCACCATCAACGTACTCAAGAACCATGTAAATCTTGGATTTACTTGCCAAAACCTGCATGTTTAATGTATCAATCACATTTGTAGGGAAAGCATCAAATGCATTGGGACTACTAATAACCTATTGATGAGTGTTCCATGGGATTGCATTATTTTTGGTATTTTCATACTCAAAATTCAGGAATAGTTTAGCTAAAATTGCTGCTAGAGACGGAAAGAATTTTTGTAATAATTAACAACCGAAAATACCACTATTAATGTTCATGAAACATTTGGTTTTGTTTTTGAGACCGCAATGTGCATGGAATTTTAATTAAAAAAAAAAAAAAAAAAGGTGTAAAATGTTGATGACTATTTATTATACTATTATTCTATGGGGTTGTGTGATCCAACTATCTTGTGTGTTATCACATGGTGAGGGTGTACCTAGATGGGCCAAAATGCACTGAAAACATTTTGATGAAATGAGTGACCAAGCAAGGGCCGGGAGATTTGTTAAAATAAGTGCTCCTTTCGTCCCAATAAAAAGAGCCCCATCGAACTGTGGAATTTATGTAATTTTGTACTAAAGGCGGATAGAACATAAATTGTTGGAATACATGGAGTATTTTATATAGTCCATTAACTTGTGGTCTCTACCTTAGACGGTAATATAGCTGCCATCAATCATCATCATAGTAATAAACGCGAAGGTTTTGTTGAGAAGAAGACAAAAACTTAGAAAGAGAAAAACAAAAAAAAAAACTCGGGGAAATGAGAAAAGAGGGAGGTTGAAATGTTGGCATATGTCCCATCTATTATTAGTATCAAAGAGGCATCACAGAGTCCAGCCCAGGAGTTATGGCTGGGTTAGTGGGCCAATTTCGTTTTCGTAGGTCCCATTTCATTGGCCCATGGGGAGAATTGACGTGGGTTTTGTCCAACTCTCACATAAATTTTGATAGTTTCTCTCCCCCCACATTGATACCGCATCTACTACTAATCTTTCTTACCAGAAGATATTACAAAAACCATTCGTTTTTTATTATATAACCAAAGAAAAAACGAAATGGTATACCCAAAACTTGGGTCAATGATGGAGAAAAGAAGTTTATTTTTTTGGTATATATACATGTGTGTGTGTGTGTGAAATTGTAAATTGATAGCTGCAATTGGAAGCAAAAGCGAGTTGTTGCTTTGGGTACACTCATTCTTCATTACTAAATGATATGGTTGATTAAACACATGGGTTATGATGTAAAAAAAATCGTCATCCTAATATAAGAGGGCAAGTAAAGTGGCTAATATGTTTAATCCTTTCAAGCTAAAGATAGCGTATATGGTGTATATTAAATAAAGAGTTGACCCACTAAAAACGAACATTAAAAAAAAAAGGGGGTGCTTACCTCGTGTAGCCTCACAACATTGGGGTGTTTGAGGAGTTTTAAGGTCCCAATCTCCCTCTTTATCTGCATCATTTCCATCAACCCAATAATTATTACTAATATTTTTAATTAATTAATTAAAAAGAAACCATAATATCCAGATAAGAAGCTATACTACATCCAATCTACCCAATAATAATTACTCTTAAATTTCACAAAATAAAAATGAATTCATTCCCACAAATCAGCAATATTACACATTAATTCTCATTGTAAATACTAGTACTACCAAATTGATTTTCTTCCATATAAAAGAAGCATTCGCAATCATTGGCTTAATTATGGACCCTAAAAACAGATTAAAATCCCTAATAATCTTCTTTGATTGAATGAAGAGAAGAAGTCAAATGGAGGTATCAAAAACGCAATTTTGGAGTGAATTTTTTTTTTGATGATGAGGAGGAGGAGGATTAGTAGTGGTAGGTAAGAAAGGAAAGGATACTAGTTATACCTGATCGGTGATATTAAGGTCAACAATCCGGTGCTTCTCCAGTATCTTGATGGCGAAAGGGTGGCCGGAATCCAGATTCCGGGCATACTTGACTTTCCCAAAGTTGCCTTCTCCTAAAGTCCTTCCAATCTCGTATTTACCAAGTCTCACCAATCCTCCGCCGGCCGATGAAGATGACGACGGCGATGACGATCTCTTCTTGCCTCGAGGCCATCTAGGATGATCATCACCATGATTTCCCTCTTCTCCTGATTTCTTCTTCTGATGCTCAAAAACATCTTTATGGACTTCATCCACTTTCTCTTCCTTCTTCCTTCTACTGAGTCCCAGCAGTACCATTTTAATCAAATCAATCAATCAATCAATTGGGAATGACAAGTAGTACTTCTCCGGCGGTCGATCTTCCGACTACGGTAATGATAAGGCCGGAAGTGCAGCAAAAAACTGTTATAAATATGATTCAGTATCTCTGATGATGTTTGACGACTAACCCACCACTTTGATTTCTTGCTTCCTTTCCTTTCCTTTCCTTTGGGTTGGTAACAATATATACATATATATATATATATATATATATATATTCAGTTTTGGGGCTCTTTTTGGCTCTCTCTTTAAAATTGGCTCTTGGTTGGTTACCTCTTTGATTGCCTCTTTGGATATCTCTATTTGGTTTTTTGTTGTTTTGTTTTGCTTTGGGGCTTTTTTTGGGGGGTGTGTGTTTTATTTTTAATTCTTATATTTTTATACATAGGAGAGAGGCTTCACAAACCGTTCAAACGGTATTCTAAGTTGGATGAAATTGAATGAAAAGGTCATCTAACCAAAGCACACACGCAATTGTTTGTGTGTTTTTTAGAATAGGTTATATTTTTTTTTATACTTTTACTACAACACAAAATTTGTAGCCCTTGCCCAACCCACATGTATGATGATGTATGTATGTGTGGTACGAAAAATATATATGTAACTACAAAAAGTAAAACAGACTAGATGATATTCAACAAGTCTAATTTTTATTAAATTATTAATACAATTGAAACATGTTTTTTCTACTACTTTTCTACATCATAAAACATGATACACGATGCTTGTTTGAGTCATTCTCCTTGCTTCGCTCTTATAAACAATGGGTAATTGTTGATCCATCATGAGATGCATATCAAATTATCAATGACACTATTAAACAAAACATACATCAACCATGAATAAACTTTCGTCAAATTAATATTATATCTGAAATAATAATTTTTCATTTGGTACCAATACAAAATTTCTGAAAAAATTAATATTATTCTATTTGAGACCAATACCAAAAATGCACCGCATCTATCTATAAATTTATGAACAGTCAAAAGAAGAAAGTGTTCTACTTATTCAAGACGTAGACGCATAGTAATACAAGATTATTCCCTTGTGTGATGTTTGTTTCGTTTTTTTAGTGTGTGTTTTTTGGTGTTTTTTATAATGAGAATGTAAAAAGATGTATTTAAAATGTAAAAAGTTATGCTAAGATGGGACAGATATTATTATATTATTATTCTGAAAAAATCATGAGAAAAAAGAAACAAACAAAACCTAGATCTGAATTTTTCTATAATTTATAATGACAATTATTTTTGCGACAAAATATTAAAGAGAGTTTCATCTTGTGAAAAGAATAATTAATTGTTTTTATGATATAAGTAAAAGTCCTCGCACATCATCAAACGTGATACATATTATTATAAATTTTGTGATCTAGAACAACTATACATCATCGGGAGTAACTACATTAATCAATAGGTTTCAGTTCGTTCTCAAAGAAAAACACAGTCACACACCAAATTCCCATTCAAACAGAAATATCTGGTGGACAGGTGTGGAGGGTGTGTGTGTGTGTGTGTGGAGGGTAGTAAACGCGTGATTCACATGTGCGTACCTTCCCTGTTCCCCATACTTCCCAAAGCTGAACTTCAAAGTCCACCTAAACCTAATAGAAAAAGGGTTTGTGGCTGTACCTTCGAACGAAATTAATCCTCCTATTGGCAAGGCATTTCACTTCACCCACACAAATTTCTTTAGTCTCTCTATATATTAAATGCAGTTTGGGATGATGTGAAATGTGAGCCTTTTTGTGATACAAGTTTGTGTTTGTAGGCCCCCCCCCCTGTGTGCCTATGGCTAATAATAATAATAATAATATAATATTAATATAAAAAACTCACCCTGTCAGTGCGTTTAGAGCCACAACAGACGGGGCTATCTTTGTCATTGCAAATTGATTGGTCATTGTCAAAAATATGTCAAGTGCCAACAAACAAAACGTTGGCCATCATCATCAGAAAAATATACTCACCCAATCTGCAAAATCTCCCTTTTCAGAGTTCAGACTCTTTCCTTAAAACCTGGACTTTAAAACCTGGACTCTGCAAGGCATGTTGGAACCACCTTAAATCCTTTAGCCAGCTCTTTTCGAGTTAACTGACTCTGTCACTATTGGTGTAGCTAGACACCGCAATATGCCAAAAAAAAACAAAAGAAAATTGCTGCTTATCGTCTAGAAAAAAATAAATCACTTTGTTAAAGTATTTTGGTTTGATAGAGGGAATTGAAGGATTCGATAACAGTCTACAGTGTAATTGTGATACAAATCCCCAGTAGCTTAAAAAAAATTATCATATGATGAACAATCAAACCATCTAATAATTGGACCAAAACAAGAATCATAATTAAAAGTTCTAATGTTTTCAATGATACAACATGTATGTTCAAAACTCAAACGACTTCGAACTCAATTTAAAAGATTCCAATTCTCCAATCATTAAACTGATAAAATATGATTTGATACAAATCATACTATTATTATTTTTACATTCACATGTGGATGACATAACTTGTGGTTTATTATTTAAGATATTTAACAAATTATTATATAAGCAGTATCAAGCGCGTAAAAATTAAATTATGAATTTATTATACAACATAGTTAACTCCATTTTAATTTTCGTTGATTGAGGTTTTAATTTTCAAATGTATTACTATCTTTTTTTTCACAATGTAGCTCCACTTTGAGTGTCACAAATATTAAGATTTAATAGTTAGCAAAGATAATCTATAATCTATAGTACTTAATTAAAGCAGCAAACAAAAAGAACATGTGTCAGCATTACAATAAAAATTTTCTCGCTAAAAGTTATTTTCAGTACAAAATCATTTTTGACACGTGGCACTCTAACTAATCAGAAAAAAAAGATGGAATAGATAAATACATAAATCCCTTAATTATAGCTACATAAAAATCTCTTAATTATAGGTATACAATAATCCCTTAAAACAACAATATTTAATTAATAAAATCAAATGTAAGGAAATCCCTTTAAATCAAGTGAAACACCAGCAATGTCTTCCCAATTCCCAATTTCAAAGAATCTCTTCCATTCCGCTCCCATCGCACACCGAGCCTTTAAATCAATTACTTAAAATCTGACATCAATTATCAATCTATCTCTTTCCACAACAGAGAAAAAATAAGCTGTCATGAAAGAAATTTGATTTTTTAATGATGATTTTTTTTTTATTCTTCTGTTGTAGGTATTGATTTATGATTTATGTAAACCCGGGCATAAGTTAACTATTATAAATTAAATGTTACAAATTTGGGTATAGATTTATATATAATAACTCACTTTCTGCCCTTTCAATCAATTTTTTATTCTTTAATTTTTTTTATTCTTTTAAGAATGATTCGTATTTTTTATTTAATCGATTTAAAAATACAGGCGGCTCCCCAGGCATTCGCCCGGGGCAAGCATCTAATCTATAGTACTTAATTAAAGCAGCAAACAAAAAGAACATGTGTCAGCACCATAATGAAAATTTTCCCGCCAAAAGCTATTTTCAGTACAAAATCATTTTTGACACGTGGCACTCTAACTAATCAGAAAAAAAAGATAGAATAGATAAATACATAAATCTCTTAATTATAGCTACATAAAAATATCTTAATTATAGGTATATACTAATCCTTTAAAACAACAATATTTAGTTGATAAAATCAAATACTAGGAAATCTCCTTAAATCAAGTGAAACACCAGTAATGTCTTCCCAATCCCCAATTTCAAAGAATCTCTTCCATTCTGCTCCTCTCTCACACTCGAGCCTTTAAACAATTACTTAAAATCTGACATCAATTATCAATCCATCTCTTTCTACAACAGAGAAAAAATAAGTTATCATGAAAGAAATTTGATTTTTTAAGGATGTTTTTTTTTATTCTTCTGTTGTAGATATTGGTTTATGATTTATGTAAACCCAGGCATAAGTAAACTGTTATAAATTAAATATTGTAAATCTGAGCATAGATTTATGTGTAATAGCTCACTTTCTGTCCTTTCAATCAATTTTTTATTCTTCTAATTTTTTTTTTATACTTTTAAGAATGATTCGTATTTTTTATTTAATCAATTTAAAAATACAGGCGACACCCGGAGCAAGCATCTAGTACTTGATTAAAGCAGCAAACAAAAAGGACATGTGTCAGCACTACAATGAAAATTTTCCCGCCAAAAGTCATTTTCAGTACAAAATCATTTTTGAGAAGTGGCACTCTAACTAATCAGAAAAAAAAGATGGAATAGATAAATACATAAATCCCTTAATTATAACTACATAAAAATCTCTTAATTATAGGTATATACTAATCTTTTAAAACAATAATATTTAATTAATAAAATCAAATGTAAGAAAATCTCCTTAAATCAAGTGAAACACAATAATGTCTTTCCAATCCCTAATTTCAAAGAATCTCTTCCATTCTGCACCTTTCTCACACCCGGGCCTTTAAATCAATTACTTAAAATCTGACATCAATTATCAATCCATCTCTTTCTACAACAGAGACAAAATAAGCTGTCATGAAAGAAATTTCATTTTTTAAGGATGATTTTTTTTTATTCTTCTGTTGTAGATATAGGTTTATGATTTATGTAAACTCGGGCATAAGTTAATTGTTATAAATTAAATGTTATAAATCTAGACATAGATTTATGTATAATAACTCACTTTCTGTCCTTTCAATCGATTTTTTATTCTTCTATTTTTTTTATTCTTTTAAGAATGATTCGTATTTTTTATTTAATCGATTTAAAAATACAGGCGGCACTCTGGACATTCGCCCGGGGCAAGCATCTAGTTATCGTGAAAGTTAAAATGAGGTACTATCTTTCTTGCCCCAAATCAAAAGTATTAGCACTATACAAAATTTTGAAATTGAAATAAAAAAAATGTAATTGTCATTAAGTTGTATTATTAAAAGTAAAAAAATAAGGGTAAAAATTTAAAAAAACTGCATTGGATTTACCTTGAAGTTACAAATAAAAAAGATAGAGATAGTATTAATTTACATCCATGCTATTGATAATTTGTACTCCCTCCATTCCAAAATAAGTGTCATCCTACACTTTGCACATATTTTAAGAAACTCTTAAATAGGATAATAAAATTACTTCAATATCCTCAACCAACCCCACTAAAAAAATGTCCACCAATAGTATTAATTCTTTCGAGGGTAATTTTGGAAACTTTGGACAAAAAGTGCA